TTGTATGGGACAGACAAACATTACCTCCCATACACACATCAAACTATGACGTACACAAAAATGTACTCAGTATTCACGCTTTACTCCATATAAATGCCTATTAAAAAAAAAAAAAAAAAAAAAAAAAAAAAAAAAAAAAAAAAAAAAAATTACCTGTCCTAAAAAAAAAAAAAAAAAAAAAAAAAAAAAAAAAAAAAAAAAAAAAAATCGTCACACGAGTAAGAACACCTGCCAATGACGGTGGAGTTGGCACCTGCTCGTAAAAACCCGACGGTGCTAGACGTGACTCTTGTGTCTCTGTGCCAAAGGGAAACTAAGATACAAAAAAAAAAAAAAAAAAAAAAAAAAAAAAAAAAAAAAAAACTAACATAAAAAAAATAATATACAGAAAAAAATAAATACAGAAAAAAAAAAAAATAAAAAACAGAAAAAAACTAAAATAAAGAAAACAATACAAAAGAATAAAAAAACTAATTATGCAGAAAATTTTAAAAGAAACTAAAATACAAAAAAAAAAAAAAATAAAAATAAAAAAAATAAAAAAATCATGATCCCAAGCAAGGAAGAGAAAACCCATAACACGGGCTTCCCTTCCCCACCCCCACCCCCTTCCCCCCTCTTTAATTTCCCCTCCGCCCGCGTCTCGCACCCTCGTCGCGGGCCCCACCTCCCGGCCGGTCACTGGGCTGCGGGCGCTCACGTGCGTAATCCACTCTCAGCCGGAGCTCTCGCTGTCTCGGCTGAACACGTCGTCGCAGCTGCAGGTACAGCGACCGGGACTGATTTTACTTAATCTACATGCAATCTGCAAACGCGTTTATATAACAAGTATTTGCAAAAAAAAAAAAAAAAAAAAAAAAAAAATAAAAAATAATAATAATAATAAAATAAAATATAATATAATAATATATAAAATAATATATATATATATACACACACACATATACATATATATATATATATATATATATATATATATATATATATATATATATATATATATATATATATATATATATATATAAAATAATAATAATAATAATATAATATAATAATAATAATAATAAAATAATTGTGATCGCGTAATGACCTCAACAGTGCCATCGTTAGAGCAATCTCTAGCAAATATTTCAGCATTCTAAAAATGTTACGTGTGTGAGTGAGTGTGTGTGTGTGTCTATGTGTGTTTGTATTTATGTTAGTATGTTTGTATGTATGTATGTATGTATGTATGTATGTATGTATGTATATGTATGTGTATGTTTATATGTATATGTATATGTATGTTTATATGTATGTATATGTACGTGTATATGTATATGTAAGTACATACATGCAGACGCACGTATGCGCATCTCCTTATTGAAAGTCACGATTCATGGATTTCCATTTGGCTGACTCCCTGCTGACACTCGCTTTACACTATTAGGGAAAACAAGTACCACGTGCGGTCTGCCTCCCATGCTTTACCTACTTCTGCAACAACACACTTATCCTAAAGTCGCTAAGAATAAAACGGCATAAACGTACACTCAAAAAAAAAATATATAAATAATGAAAAAAAAATTGAAAACCTCTCAAATCTCCAAATAAACAAAAACACGCCTGAATTTATTATCTTGCTCGATTAGCAGAGTCTGAGAGAAAGAATAATAATAAATATATATAATATATATATATATATATATATATATATATATATATATATATAATATATATATATATATATATATATATATATATATATATATATATATATATATATATTATATATATATATATATATATATATATATATACATATATACATACATACATACATACATAACACGACATAAACACATTAGTTTGAAAGCGGGAATATTCGCAAGAATAAACAATTTCTCAAGGCTATGATTACGCCAACATAAGCTAGTCCTTAGAAGATGACGACAACACAAAACGAGGTGCATGCATAAGTAAAGCACAATGCGTTAGAGGAAATTTGGCATCTTACTTAATAATACGAACAAAGGAGTTTGAATCTTCACAAAGCAGTGTGATGAAGAGCAAAACAGAAAGACAGAGACAGACTGTGAGAGAGAAAATGAGACAGGTCTGATAGACACACACACACTGAATGAGAGAGAGAGAGAGAGAGAGAGAGAGAGAGAGAGAGAGAGAAGAGAGAGAGAGAGAGAGAGAGAGAGAGAAGAGAGAGAGAGAGAGAGAGAGAGAGAGAGAGAGAGAGAGTGAGTCAGACACAAAACCAGACAAACAGTCAGCGAAACAGAAACAGCCAAAGAGGGAGAAATCCCGAAAGTGAAAAAATAAATAATAATAATAAAAAAAAATCAGGCAACACAGTACACACCCCCCCCCCCCCCCTCGAGAGCCATGCGCCCTAATCCCCGCCATCACTTAGCCCTCCTATCCCTCTCCCTTAGCGCAGATACTAACGCTGCAAATGCGATATAAACGGCCGGCTGCGACTCGTAAACTTAAAACACTCGTAAAGACATTATGGCCCCGCGACCTCTCCCTCCGACCCCGGGCTCTTAGCGCGGCCGGGCAGCGCCATAACCCCGGGGCCTGATTTCCCCCTGGCCCTTTCTCTCGGCCGCCGCGGAGCCTGACGCGGCGCGGCTCGGCGCGGCACTCCTGCTCGGCGTGGCACTCCTGCTCGCGTGGCACTCCTGCTCGCTGCACTCCTGCTGCGGCGTGCACCCTCTCTGCTCGGCGTGGCGTGCACTCCTGCTCGGCGTCGGCTCGGCGGCACTCCTGTCGGCGTCCTGGCACTCCTGCTCGCGCGCACTCTCTCGGCGTGCTCGCACCCTGGCTCGGCGTGGCACTCCTGCTCGGCGCGGCACTCCTGCTCGCGCTGGCACTCGCTTGGCACTCCTGCTCCGTGGCGCTCGTGGCACTCCTGTCGGCGGGCACTCCTGCTCGGCGTGGCACTCCTGCTCGGCGTGGACTCCTGCCGGCGTGGCACTCCTGCTCGGCGCGGCACTCCTGCCGGCGTGGCACTCCTGCGGCACTCTGCTCCGTGGCACACGGTGGCACTCCTGCTCGGTGGCACTCCTGCTCTGCTCGGGCTACTCCTGCTCGGCGTGGCACTCCTGCTCGCGTGGCACTCCTGCTCGCGTGGCTCCTGCTCGGCGTGCACTCCTGCTTCGCGCGGCACTCCTGGCGTGGCGCGGACTCCTGCTCGGCGTGCACTCCTGCTCGCTCGGCGTGCAACTCCTGCTCGGCGCACTCCTGCTCGCGTGGCACTCCTGCTCGGCGTGGCACTCCTGCTTCGGCGCGGCACTCTGCTCGGCGTGGCACTCCTGCTCGGCGTGGCGGCTCGGCGTGGCACTCCTGCTCGGCGTGGCACTCCTGCTCGGCGTGGCACTCCTGCTCGCGCGGCACTCCTGCTCGGCGTGGCACTCTGCTCGGCGCGGCACTCCTGCTCGCGTGGCACTCCTGCTGGCGTGCTCGCGCACTCCTGCGTGGCACTCCTGCTCGGGCGGCACTCCTGCTCGGCGTGGCAACTCCTGCTCGGCGTGGCACTCCTGCTCGGCGGCACTCCTGCTCGGCGTGGCACTCCCTGCTCGGCGCTCTGCTCGGCGCGGCACTCCTGACTCCTGGGCGTCCTGGCGGCGCACTCGGTCGCGGCGTGGCACTCCTGCTCGGCGCGGCACTCCTGCTCGGCGCGGCACTCCTGGTCGCGCGGCACTCCTGACGCGGCGTGGCACTCCTGCTCGGCGCGGCACTCCTGCTCGCACTCCTGACGCGGCGTGGCACTCCTGCTCGGCGCGGCACTCGGCCGGCAGCACTCCTGCTCGGCGCGCACTCCTGCGCGGCGTGGCACCTGCCGGCGTGCTCTGCTCGGCGTGGCACTCCTGCTCGGCGGGCACTCCTGCTCGGCGCGGCACTCCTGCGTGCACTCTGCTCGCGCGGCACTCCTGCTCGCGCGGCACTCCTGACGCGGCGTGGCACTCCTGCTCGGCGCGGCACTCCTGCTCGGCGTGGCACTCCTGCGCGCGTGGCACTCCTGCTCGGCGTGGCACTCCTGCTCGGCGCGGCACTCCTGCTCGGCGCGGCACTCCTGGGCGTGGCACTCCTGCTCGGCGCGGCACTCCTGCTCGGCGTGGCACTCCTGCTCGGCGCGGCACTCCTGCTCGGCGCGGCACTCCTGCTCGGCGCGGCACTCCTGACGCGGCTGGCACTCCTGCTCGGCGTCCTGGCACTCCTGCTCGGCGCGGCACTCCTGACGCGGCGGCACTCCTGCTCGGCGCGGCACTCCTGCTCGGCGCGGCACTCCTGCTCGGCGTGCACTCCTGCTCGGCGTGGCACTCCTGCTCGGTGGCACTCTCTGCTCGGCGTGGCACTCCTGCTCGGCGCGGCACTCCTGACGCGCGTGGCACTCCTGCTCGGCGCGGCACTCCTGCTCGGCGCGGGCTCGGCGCGGCACTCCTGCTCGGCGTGGCCTCCTGCTCGGCGTGGCACTCCTGCTCGGCGCGGCACTCCTGCTCGCGCGTGGCGTGCTCTCACTCCTGCTCGGCGTGCACTCCTGCTCGGCGTGGCACTCCTGCTCGGCGTGGCACTCCTGCTCGGCGTGGCACTCCTGCTCGGCGCGGCACTCCTGCTCGGCGTGGCACTCCTGCTCGGCGCGGGCGTCCTGCTCGGCGTGGCCTCTGCTCGGCACTCCTGCTCGGCGCGGCGCTCTCGCTCGGCGCACTCCTGCTCGGCGGCACTCCTGCTCGGCGTGGCACTGCTCGGCGCGGCACTCCTGCTCGGCGCGGCACTCCTGCTCGGCGCGGCGGCGGCTCCTCCTCCGGCGAGTGAGGGCGCGGAGGAGGGACGCGCGGCCGGGTGTCGTCTCTCGAGCGGTTGGCTCTTGGATCCGCCGTCTCACGTCGCTGTGCTTTCCCTTCGCCGCTTCTTTATTCGCATGGTTGTCTTTCTTTCGCCGTCTTCCTCTTCTCCTCTTCCTTATTCGCGTGGTTTTCTTTCTTACACCGTCTTTCTCTCCGCTT